AATATGTGGGGCCCTTGGCATCTGGATTTTCTCCTCTACAAGCTCCCATGAGGTACATCTTCACTTCTACATCCTATGAGTTCTTTGTTTTTGTTTAAACTCAAGAAGAAATGCATTGGTTTCTTAAAAAGTATTGCTTGTTAAATGTGTGTATATATATATTTACTTATTTATTTATTTCATAGGGGTCCTGCATATGGTTATAAGGGAAAAGTGCTGCTTGCATTTATTGAAAATGGGCATTCCAAGATTGGTGTTAGATTTGATAAAAAAATTCCAGAAGGCAATGATCTTGGAGGTGTTTGTGAAGAAGATCATGGTTTTTTCTGTGCTGGTAATAATCCAAACATTTAAGCAATCCATACTTTTTTAATACCTTTCGTTGTTAGTTACAGTGTGGATTAATAAATAAATAAAAAAACTTCTTTTTTGGTATCATATGCAGCTGAATTTCTTCGCCTTGATTCTGCAAGTTCAGATGACATTGAGAGGCTTGCAATTAATGAACTTATTGAGGTAGTTTTGAACCTGCTTTTCTTTAAAAAAAAAAGTATACTGTATTCATTGAAACAATTACAGAAAATGTTGTATTTACTATTTATCTATGCAGGTTGCTACAAAAGAAAGTAGAATCAGTCCATTCATAATATTTGTAAAAGATATAGAAAAGTCAATGCTTGGAAACCCTGATGTCTATGCTTCTTTTAAAAGTAAGCTTGAGAAATTGCCTGGGAATGTGGTTATCATTGCTTCACATGTTCAAATGGACACCCTGAAAGAGAAAGTAAGAATTTAAATCATAACATCAAATTTTATATGCCAATCATTTACACTTATATTAAACTAATTTAATTTTTTAGCAGTCTCATTCTGGTGGATTAGTGTTTACAAAATTTGGGAACAATCAGACTACATTACTTGACCTGGCTTTCCCGGTAATTTCTACTAATTTTTATTTTTGAAACAAATGTACTTCAAATAAACATCAATTAAAGATGTGATGTGATGTGATTAATTTCAGGATAGTTTTGGTAGACTAAATGATAAAAGCAAAGAAAGCCCTAAAGCCATGAAGCAAGTCACTCGTCTTTTTCCAAACAAAGTCACCATACAGACGCCTCAGGTAAAATAAATCCCATTTTAGGATTTTGTATGTGTTTGAGGATATTAATTAATGTTTTTAAATTTTATAACCATGTCCATGGCAGGATGAAACATTACTTTCAGACTGGAAGCAACAGTTAGACCGAGATATAGAGACCTTGAAATCACAGTCAAATATTATCAGCATTCAAACAGTGAGTATACTGTTATGATTTTTTTAATCACAATTTTAAATTTGTAGCATTATTTTTTTAATCACTCAATGTCATGATTTCAGGTTCTGAATCGAGTAGGTCTTGGTTGCTCAGATCTTCAAGCAACCTGCATAAAAGATCAAGCCTTGACAAATGAAAGTTAGTTCCATTTTTTCTTCAATTATTTTCATTTTATTTTATAGTTTCTAAGTAATTGCTCTTATTATTTGTTATAATAGATGCTGAAAAGGTTGTTGGATGGGCGCTTAGTCATCACTGTATGACAAGTTTTAAATCTTTTGCTAAAGACACCGAACTTGTGATTTCTAGTGAAAGGTATCAGTAAAAAAGAATAAAAAACAAGAGCAATCCATTATTCTTCATGCTTACTTTGTGTTTTATGGTATATATTGTAGCATCAAGTATGGGCTTGACATATTGCAAGGTACTCTTAACGAGAGTAAAAGTTCAAAGAAGACACTAAAGGTAAAAAAAAAAAAGTAAAAGCTGTTTCTTTCCATTATGACACCAAGTAAACGAGACACATGTTCATATACAAGTAGAAAAATTAAATTATGAGATAATGAGATAATGAGTTGAGATTGATTGCAGGATGTGGCTACTGAAAATGAATTTGAGAAGAGACTCCTATCTGAAGTTATTCCTCCAAATGATATTGGTGTTAGTTTTGATGATATTGGAGCTTTAGAAACAGTGAAGGATACTTTAAAAGAATTGGTGATGCTACCTCTCCAAAGGCCTGAATTATTTTGTAAAGGACAATTAACAAAGGTAAAAAATTATATAAATATTTTTTCTTTTTTGTAACGGGTGTAAGTAAAGTTTTTGTTGAATTCCAGCCTTGCAAAGGAATTTTGCTTTTTGGGCCACCTGGCACTGGTAAAACAATGCTAGCAAAAGCTATTGCAACTGAGGCAGGTGCAAATTTTATCAACATATCAATGTCGAGCATTTCTTCAAAGGTATTCTCACCGAAAATAAAAAATATGATTTTTGATTGGTAGAAGAAATGAATATAATTAACATGTTGATGTTGATGGTTGTTTGTTTGTAGTGGTTTGGTGAAGGAGAGAAGTATGTGAAAGCAGTTTTCAGTCTTGCAAGTAAAATAGCTCCCAGTATTGTGTTTGTGGATGAGGTTGGTACAATTACAAAGCTTGTATCAATTAATTATTTATCAAATTTTCTTAATAGATTTTTTGTGATTTAAAAAAAAAATGTAATAGGTGGATAGCATGTTGGGTAGACGTGAAAATCCAGGCGAACATGAAGCAATGCGGAAAATGAAAAATGAGTTTATGATGAATTGGGATGGATTGCGTACAAAGGATAGAGAGCGTGTACTTGTACTTGGTGCCACCAACAGGCCTTTTGATCTTGATGAGGCTGTAATTAGGAGACTACCTAGGAGGTTTTGCTAATTCTTTTTTCTTTTTCCTTTTTTCTTCTTTTTCGGTAATAATATAATATAAGAAAATATGGTGTGTTATTTGCAGGTTGATGGTGAATTTACCGGATGCCACAAACAGAGAGAAGATTCTGAGAGTGATTTTGGCAAAAGAGGAATTGGGACCAGATGTTGATCTTCAAGCTGTGGCAAATATGACAGATGGCTACTCGGGGAGTGATTTGAAGGTTTTTATCGTCTTTTTCTCTCTCTCTCTCTCTCTCTCTCTCTCTCTGTGTGTGTGTGTAGATTTGGGGTATTTTTTTTTTTTACTTTGTGTGTAGTGTTTGGTTACTGATAGAGTTGTGTTGGAATTTCAGAATCTTTGTGTGGCGGCTGCACATTATCCAATAAGAGAAATTTTGGAAAAGGAAAAGAAGGTTTGTCTAGCTTTTTAGTTTTTAAAAAGATGTTGGCATCCAATTAATTATATATGCAGCTTGACAGACTATTGTTATTTAAATGTTTATGTTGATTTATGAGATTGTTTGTGTGCACAGGAGAAGGCTGCGGCATTGGCAGAAAACAGAATGCTACCTCCTTTGCATGGTAGTGCAGATGTTCGGCCTATAAATTTGGATGATTTTAAAAGTGCTCATCAACAGGTCCGTAACACAAAATATATGTGCATCATTTTTTTGACTTGGTGTTGCTCTTTCATTTATAATGAGAAAAAACATGTCGTAAATAGAATGTTGTTATGTGCAGGTATGTGCAAGTGTATCCTCGGAGTCGGCAAATATGAATGAGCTGCTACAATGGAACGAACTGTATGGGGAAGGTGGATCCAGGAAGAAGAAACTCCTCAGCTATTTCATGTGAAGCCAAACCCAAACGAGTGTATAGCAACCGAATCGTCTTTACTTTGTTTGACCAAGAGTTTTTTTTTTTTTTTTTTTTTTTTAATAACCAGTGTTAGGCAAACTGTATAGAGTAAGACTCGTTAATTCGACTCATCCCATCTCCTCATGTTTTCAGATTATCAAGTACCATTAACTTTAACTTTGTAGGTCAATTTCAATTTGTGTTGTGTTTCGGGAGTATGTACCATTAATACTTGTTAAGGTTATGTGTGGATTGAAAGCTGAAAAATGTCGGTAAGGATTTTGAAATTCTAACAAATCAAAAACTCAGCGAACGTAATTAATTTTATTAAAAAATATTCTGCGAGTTGAAAGGCTTCGTACTGGTCTAGTTGAATGCATCTTTTTGTACCTCTATTTCACAGTTTGAATGATGGGTTGAATCATTAACAAAAGTAATTAATTTTCTAAAACTTTTTGATTTCAAAGATTTGCATAAAATAACGAAAGTACACTTCGGACAATCGATCTTCCATCGAATTAGTATACTTCTTTAGATCAACATGTTCCAAACTGGATGTGGATGTAGAGAAATTAGGTGAAAAAAAGTTGGCAGTAATTCTTTAGTTTTAAAAAAAAGTAACTTTGGCTTCGCCCGGGTTCGAACCGGAGACCTTCAGTGTGTTAGACTGACGTGATAACCAACTACACCACGAAACCTTGTTGATATCTTTCCCAGAAGACTAATAATTTAATGATGTGATGCCGGTTAGTGTTTCAAGTATGCACCTTCTTATGTAATGTTATTTACTTATATCAATCTGTATTTATCCACCCTTTGTTACGAACAAATAAAACAATTATATTTTACTAAAACAAACACTAATTTGTTAGAATAATCTAAAATGAGCATATTCATAATAGTTACAAGTATCAATTTCCAATTCACGAATTTGGTTGCTATTATAGAGCCAAGCTAGTAAAAGTCAATAAATTCATCTAAAATCTACATATGAAACATATCTTCCACATTGAACAAAACAAAAAAACATCATAATTCGTAACATCCTCCTAGACATTTACTCCTAGACATTTACTGGTATTTGTTTCTATGGTTTCCCAAAATCTGAGATATAATCTCTAACTTTAAAAAAACTCATAGAAGGTATGTGGTTTTTAATTTCTATTGTGGTTGGTCTATCACCCATTTAAAATGTACTTTGCCAAATACACCTTCAGATGCTCCAAGTACTCTTCAAATCCTAACTTTGTTGTCACCGTTGATTGTCTTCCTCTTCTCCCTTCTATGAGTTAAAGTTAGGGACTATATCCAAAATTTTGGAAAACCACAGGACCATTTATGAAGTTTTGTTTAATATTAAATTACTAACATAGTAATATACCTTTGCAATATATTAAACAAATCAATCATTTTTAAACTGTTAATAATTCTACCTGCTCATTAACAAGACTAAGACGTGATGGAAAAAAGCATTGATACACGTTTTCAACAAGAATGAACTGATTTTTTGTTACACAACGAGAGAGTAAACAACTCCACACTACAAATCATAGAACTTGACATGGTAGTGAAAAGAAATTATAAAAAAAAAAGTAAATAAAGAAAAGCAAAACAGGAAGTATTGCACAACATCAAAATACACATCACTTGCAGTCACTCTAATAAGGTTGATGCCTCTTTTTCTTGCGATTTTTGGGGTGTTTTTCAACCAATGAAGTCGATATCCAAGATTGATTTATGTCAGACGAATTGTCAGACAACCAGCAACACAATCGTCCGTCTTCGCCACCTGTCCACCCAAATATCCCCTCTGTTTGGTTCTGGTTCTGGTTCTGCTTTTTGTTGTTCATCACACTTCTCATGGTGGGGGAAGGCAGCACACTCCTAACAACAACACCATGACCACCATGGAGAACCGCTTCTGGTGACAAAATTGATCTCATACCTTCTGCATACCCTACCGGGAAGTATCCCAAACTGCCGCCATTTGTGCCGCCTATAACCCATAATCGCTCATCCACCGCCGAGTAGTGACAGTCAACAAAATAGTCAACCTGAAAATGGGAACGTACAACCAAGTTTAATGAAAGTAGAAGGTGGTTGTAAATTGTAATACACAAATAAATAATTTAGAAAAAGCAAATAACCCACATGATCTAGAGACCAGCTATTAGAGGCCAAGGAGCGAGCATCCTCAAAATTGGCATCAACTCTAGACTCTTTCAAATCCCAAATACTGAATCAAGACACATAAACCAACAACAAGGTATTTATTTATTTGATTAAAAGTTCTTTTAGCATACATTCATATTCAAATGAATTTATAAGTACCTTAAAGTTTCAATGTGAGTCAAACACCATAGCTTCTCATATGTCCCTCCAAAAAGCCCCACTTTTCCGATAGATGTCCCCACATTAATCACCTCCATTACATCGATCATGTCAGTAAAATCATATCAAAAAAACAAATAAAAAATCTGGTGATTCCACACTTACTGATTCCAGATGATCATCATCATTGATTTCTCCACTGGTGTCATAAGTACAAATTAGTCCATCAATAGAGGCAGATATAAGCTTATTTTTCTCATTCGGTACAAAATGAACCTGTCACCAATCGTAATTTATCAATAAGTTGTTTTCTTTATATGATCAAGTTGTAAATCAAAATTGAAAAAATAACATAAACATGATAAGAAACATAGCATAAGAACAAACCTGTGTCACATCATCCATATGAGACTCCTCCAAGCAGGCAACCTGCTTCTTGTTTCTCCAATCCCAGAAAAGTATCTACTTGCAATATTATATCAGGAACATTAATGTTATATCAACTCATAATTGTTTGGGATGAATGAACATCAATGTGAAGAAACCAGCTGTGCTAATTGAATATGTTTTTAATCATCCAAGATACATCTTATGCACATGGAATGTCACATATAGAACTGGAATCGTGCACAAAAGTGAAAAAAATAAGATGTAAAGAATAAAGATGCAACTGCATTACCTGAGATTTACAACCTGCAGCAAGAAGATTATCACCAGATCCGCCGAATGAAAAACTAAATATTTCTTGAGAAGGACCAGCATTTAGGCAAGACACCTGCATTTCATGTGCAATTTATACACATAGTGAACATCATAGCTTCATCCAATAACCTATGCATATAATTGCACTGTAGACTGAGATAAAAATGCTACCACTTCACAAAGTTGGAATTCGAAATATCAAAATCAGGAATCAAATTGTTTGAAACACAGGAAGGGAGAAACCTGTTGGTAAGAGCGAGTATCCCAAGCCCTGAGAGTGCCATCTGACGAGCAAGAGTGCAATATATTACCCGAAAATAAAATGTGGTTAATACTATCAGAATGCTGTCCTCTGCAGCATTCTCCGACGAACTGACCGGTAACCGGTGAATACAGCTTCACGGAATTGGACGACAGAGACACAGCCATCGTTGTCCAGTCTTCCCTAAAATCGAATTCACACAAACACACGAATCAATCAATTATATTCTAATTCTACAAGTAAAGCCGACATGTTAGAGATTATGGATAGGGTTAACATACTTGGGGACGATTTGGAAAACGTAATCATCACCGAAGTTGGTTTGAATGGAATTTTTTAATGCAAATCGCTTCGATGAGCTGCTGGTATCGGGAATGATGCGGTTGTGTTGTTCATTTACTTCTACGTCCATATCTGTCGCGTCCATTTGTGGCGACTGGCGAGGCAACTGGCAACCAAGCAATTGGGAGGCGGAAGGTATACAACTCCCGGTGTGCCGCCGAGGGCCGAGGGTTTAGGCTCTTTCTTTTTCCCTTAGGAAGCCATATTATTTAAATATTTCTTATTAATTTTGACAAAATTGAAAAAAATATGGGTAAATAACACAAAAAAAATATTTTTTTATACAGAAATTCGATTTTGATACTGTATTTTTTTTTTGTCAATTTTGACACTGTGTTTTTCTATTTGTTACAATTCTGAACACTTAACTGATTAACCAGGTTACATGCTGACGTGACATGATTATGTGTCAGTTTTGATGACGTGACATGCTGACATGATATGCTGATGTGTCAAATTGATTTTTTTCCACAAAAAACACTAAGTTTTCACATTTTTTCGATTTTAACACTATGTTTAATTTTTTATTTTAATTTTGACACTATTTTAATTTTTTATTCCAATCGAACATCATTTATCAAATTTTATTCAATTTTGTCTATTTTCCATTTGAAACCGTATAAATATATTTTTTTATTACATTTTAAATTGTATAAACATATTTTTTCGTTTAAAAACCACATTTTTATTTAAATACAAGGTATTTTTTTTCTTACATATCTATTTAACAAACAAGCTTAATATAATAAAAATTACTTTTATTAGAACATTGAATTAAATGTAAGAAAAAAAAAAAACACCTTGTATTTAAATAAAAATGTGGTTTTTAAACGAAAAAATATGTTTATACGGTTTAAAATGTAATTATATATATATATATATATATATATATATATATATATATTTATATGGTTTCAAATGGAAAATAGATAAAATTGAACAAAATTTGATAAATGATGTTTGATTGGAACAAAAAAAAACATAGTATCAAAATTGAAATAAAAAATTAAACTTAGTGTCAAAATCGAAAAAATGTGAAAATTTAGTGTTTTTTGTGGAAAAAAAATCAATTATGACACGTCAGCATATCATGTCAGCATCTCACGTCATTAAAACTGACAAGTTATCATGCCACGTCAGCATGTAACCTGGTTAACCGATCAAGTGGTCAGAATTGTAACAAATTAGAAAAGCACAATGTCAAAATTGACACAAAAGAAAACACGGTGTCAAAATCGAATTTCTGTGTAAAAAGAGTGTTTTTTGTGCCATTTACCCATAAAATATCCTTAAAATGATGTATTTTTTCTAAAAAAAATATTTGGTGGTTTATTAGTGATCTAATTTTAAAAATATTGTGTCTTTATTAAAAATACTAGTTGTGAGAACTTTGAAAATTAATTTAAATGTCTAAATATAAATGGATTAATTTAAAAATAAAAATAAATATAATTGTCTAAATATTTGAGAGCTTTGAATTTATAAGAAAATAATAAAAATAATATATTATTATAATGGAAATATTTTTTTATATTTTAAATTTAAATAAATAAATAAAACTAATAAGCTTTAATTTTGAAAAATTTGAAATTAAGTTCATTAATGACAGTGATATCCATTTATTATTACATTTATTGTAATTAATACATTAAATGTTATGTGGAATTTAAAAAATTATAAAAACTTATAAAATGACATGTGGAAAAAAAAAATTCAAATTATCCACAAAATAACAATTGACGAGTTAAAATGTGACAAGTGGCAAAAAAAATATTTATTTATAAGAGTAGATTAATTAATTTTAACAGTTTCATTGTTAACATTTTAAAAATAATCTTTATGGACAACTTCTACAAACAAACTATAATGATTATTTATGTATATATATTTTTAAATTTTATTCAATTAAAATACCCTATTTAGATTTTTAATTTTTTATTCGATCAATTTTTTAATTGTATTATTATTTATTAATAAATATTATTTTTAATATATTTTATTTATATATTGATAAATATTATTTATTGGATTATTAATTTTTTTAAATAGTTTTTTTAATTTATTTTTTATTTGATTGATTCTTTATTATTGGATTATTATATATTAATAAATATTATTGTTAATATATTATATTTACATATTAATAAAATATTAATTTTATTGGATTACTATAAGGAGTAAGTGTATCTCAAGAAGAAGACTGGCATAGATGAAAATTGACACGCATTCAAAGTAAAACTTGTTGCTAAGGGATTCACTAAATTCCAAGGGGTTGATTATGATGAAACCTTTTCACCAGTTGTTATGATTAAATCTATTAAGATACTACTTGTCATAGTTACATATTATGACTATGAGATATGACAAATGGATGTCAAAACTACTTTTCTAAATGGACACTTTGAAGAAGATGTCTATATGGTTTAGCATGAAGGTTTTGTCGACCAAAAGCATCATAATAAAGTGTGTAAACTCAAGAGATGCATTTACGGGTTAAAGCAAGCATCTCAAAATTGGAGTCATCCTTTTAATCATGAAATCAAAAAGCATGGTTTTGTTAGAAACAAAGATGAATCTTATGTTTACCTAAAAACTATCAGGAGCTCAGTGACCTTCTTGGTCATGTATGTGGATGACATACTTATTTACAAGGTGTAAAGGCTTGCTAGGAAAGTCCTTCTCAATGGAGGATCTTGGTGAGGATCAATATATTCTTGGAATCAAAATCTATATAGATAGATCAAAACGATTAATAAGTTTAAGCCAAATTACATATATTGATAAAGTCTTGAAACGGTTTAATATGGAAAACTTTAAGAGAGGATCTGTACCTATGACATATGGCACTATGTTGAGTTCATCTCAATGTCCTAGTACAAAGGCCGAGCTAGAGAAAATGAAGGATGTTTCATATGCTCTGGCAGTTGGATCCATCATATATGCCATGAATTATAATATACTTGATATTGCTTATGCTATGAGCATAACGAGCAAATACCAACAAAATCCAGGGAAGAGTCATTAGATAGTTGTGAAGAACATCCTTAAGTATCTTCAAGAAGAAGACTGACATAGATGAAAATTGACACGCATTCAAAGTAAAACTTGTTGCTAAGGGATTCACTAAATTCCAAGGGGTTGATTATGATGAAACCTTTTCACCAGTTGTTATGATTAAATCTATTAAGATACTACTTGTCATAGTTACATATTATGACTATGAGATATGACAAATGGATGTCAAAACTACTTTTCTAAATGGACACTTTGAAGAAGATGTCTATATGGTTTAGCATGAAGGTTTTGTCGACCAAAAGCATCATAATAAAGTGTGTAAACTCAAGAGATGCATTTACGGGTTAAAGCAAGCATCTCAAAATTGGAGTCATCCTTTTAATCATGAAATCAAAAAGCATGGTTTTGTTAGAAACAAAGATGAATCTTATGTTTACCTAAAAACTATCAGGAGCTCAGTGACCTTCTTGGTCATGTATGTGGATGACATACTTATTTACAAGGTGTAAAGGCTTGCTAGGAAAGTGCTTCTCAATGGAGGATCTTGGTGAGGATCACTATATTCTTGGAATCAAAATCTATATAGATAGATCAAAATGATTAATAAGTTTGAGCCAAATTACATATATTGATAAACTCTTGAAACGGTTTAAGATGGAAAACTTTAAGAGATTATTTGTACCTATGACATATGACACTATGTTGAGTTCATCTCAATGTCCTAGTACAAAGGCCGAGCTAGACAAAATGAAGGATGTTTCATATGCTCTAGCAGTTGGATCCATCATGTATGTCATGAATTGTAAAATACATGATACTACTTATGATATGAGCATAGTGAGCAAATACCAACAAAATCCAAGGAAGAGTCATTAGATAGTTGTGAAGAACACCCTTAAGTATCTTCAAGAAGAAGACTGACATAAATGAAAATTAACACACATTCAAAGTAAAAATTGTTGCTAAAGGATTCACTCAAATCCAATGGGTTGATTATGATGAAATCTTTTCACTGGTTGTTATGATTAAATCTATTAGGATACTACTTGTCATAGTTACATATTATGACTATGAGATATGAAAAATGGATGTCAAAACTGATTTTCTAAACGGGCACTTTGAAGAAGATGTCTATATGGTTTAACATGAAGGTTTTGTCGACCAAAAGCATCCTAATAAAGTGTGTAAACTCAAGAGATGCATTTACGGGTTAAAGCAAGCATCTCAAAATTGGAGTCATCCTTTTAATCATGAAATCAAAAAGCATGGTTTTGTTAGAAACAAAGATGAATCTTATGTTTACCTAAAAACTATCAGGAGCTCAGTGACCTTCTTGGTCATGTATGTGGATGACATACTTATTTACAAGGTGTAAAGGTTTGCTTGGAAAGTCCTTCTCAATGGAGGATCTTGGTGAGGATCAATATATTCTTGGAATCAAAATCTATATAGATAGATCAAAACGATTAATAAGTTTAAGCCAAATTACATATATTGATAAAGTCTTGAAACGGTTTAAGATGGAAAACTTTAAGAGAGGATTTGTACCTATGACATATGGCACTATGTTGAGTTCATCTCAATGTCCTAGTACAAAGGCTGAGCTAGAGAAAATGAAGGATGCTTCATATGCTCTGGCAGTTGGATCCATCATATATGCCATGAATTATAATATACTTGATATTGCTTATGCTATGAGCATAACGAGAAAATACCAACAAAATCCAGGGAAGAGTCATTAGATAGTTGTGAAGAACATCCTTAAGTATCTTCAAGAAGAAGACTGACATAGATGAAAATTGACACACATTCAAAGTAAAACTTGTTGCTAAGGGATTCACTCAAATCCAAGGGGTTGATTATTTTAAAACCTTTTCACTGGTTGTTATGATTAAATCTATTAGGATACAACTTGTCATAGTTACATATTATGATTATGAGATATGACAAATGGATGCTGAAACTGCATTTCTAAACGGACACTTTGAAGAAGATGTCTATATGGTTTAGCCTGAAGGTTTTTTCGACCAAAAACATCCTAATAAACTGTGTAAACTCAAGAGATGCATTTACGGGTTAAAGCAAGAATCTCAAAATTAGAGTCATCGTTTTAATCATGAAATCACAAAATGTGGTTTTGTTTAGAAACGAAGATGAATCTTATGTTTACCTGAAAACTATCAGGAGTTTAGTAA